AGATCCAGTTCATGACTTCCACCGGCGTCGGGCTTCTAGATAGACTCGGTGGTTTGGATGCCATGAAATCCTTGTATTTTCATCCACGTCTGTCATTTCCTCCATCCTGGTGGTTTCACCTAACTATCGATGGGTTGGCTTGACTAACAGTCCCACTGTAGTTTTCTCCTTCTGACTGCCTATCATTTAGCTCGGGCTGTTCAATTGGTACCATAAGTTCTTCTCGGTTCTGTTGAAGTAAACGCCTTGTTTCCTCCATTTGGCGATCCAACATCAACTGGATCATCGCTTGCACACCGACCATCGTTATTGGTTCAGGTGCCACTTCTTCGACAACAGGTATTTGTTGTACCACTGGAGGTTGAGGGGGTTGGTTCCTATTTCCATTTGTATTTACGTTTCCGCTACGGATCCTTGCCATCTTGATCTATGCACCGTATAAGGTGAATTTAGATCTTTATTTAGTATAGACGTTTAAATCATCTTTATCTCTCCGAAACGTTTACATGCTAGTTCTAATATCGTAGTCGTACGTTTAGAATCCTAAACACATAAGGTTTCCAGATCCGGTCGGCAACAGATCATAGATCCGAACAAATAATAGCATATCAGGCACAAAGCATTTAGCACATAAAATCATTTTAGGCACAATTCCTAAAATAAGCTAGTGCTCACACCTCACAATCATCACTTAGCATTCTAAGTTTAAGTCTAGAAATCCTACAAATTCCTAATTTGCTTAAACTAATGCTCTGATACCAACTGTGACATCCCCATTTTCACGGCCAGAAAAGACCGATTTTGTTTATGCTTTGTTGGAAAATCATAGTAACATTTTAAATAAAAGTGTTGTGGAATTTGTCCCAAAACAAAATATGATAAAGATTTATGAAAAGCATTTCCAAAGAAATGTATTTCATTAAAAGACTTGGGATGTCATGTTCAATACAGATCAAAAGCATAAACAGTACAATATAAGCCTTACTACATTATTTCATATCTACAGGCCTATATCCGTAATCCCTCATCCAAAACATCACATCTATGCTCGAGCGCCACTACCTGTAATACATGAAACTGAGTGGATCAGGCTTGGGAGCCTGGTGAGCACATAGGGTTTTCAACCCACAATAAATAAGCTATTTAGTTTCATCAATCAACAATAACCCGATTACCCGTTCCCGTTATCCTCACTTTACGTCCCTATACACCTATCATAAGGGACCTAGCCTAAGGATCATCATCGGGATGGACACCACTGCTAAGGGGGTTCCTCAGCAATAAATGTCCTAAAGGCAACCATGTGGGGGATGGAGTACACCGGTGAATACATCGTTCACAAACACCTACAGGTTGCGAGCCTGTTAGTGTTCCACTGGACTGTCTAGAAGAGTCCGTGGTCGTCATCTATACTCCGCTAGATGACAGAATCAACAACATCAACATCGAGGCCTCTCATCATTTTATCACACATCACCTATTACATCTACCCATGCTTTACCCCAACATTTTCGTAGATATAAAATACATATACAGTTTAAATCATTGAAAACATGTATAAAAACGTTCATCCAGCATAGATAGCAAGTATTCAGATAATATGCACACATAGCACGTAATTTATATAAAATACTTCATATCTATGTGTAAGCTGAAAGTAACTATGCACTCACCTGATACGGTGGTGACTCGGTCCTCGGACAGTACTTCGTAACTCTTAAAATAATTTTCCTCGACAAAACCTAGTATCAATACCACTAGGGTTTAGTCTAACGTCAACTGCGACTAATTAATAGTCTAGCTATTATTATTATTATATAAGCGTTAAATAACACTCAACATAACTAATAATAATAGCCCAAATAATTATTTTAAGGACCTAATAACATTACTATAATTATTTGAAAACTATATTAAAAATTGTGCAAGCGTAGCTCACTTACAGCGGGTTTTAAAGAAAACTGGGCTTTGCTCGGAGCAGCGTTTCTGAAACTGAAAGACCCTTTTTCTCGGGACTCCGGGAGCCTCGGGGCTTCCTTTGGGTGCTAGGGATTTTTCCTAGGGTTTAGGGGTGGTTTTGGGAGCTAGAGAGAGAAAGAAACTAGAGAGAGAATGAGATTTGGTGTGGAAAACTCGGAAAGGCTCGCACCTTATTTATAGGCCGGAGGACCTCGGATTACGCTGGGCGTACCGAGGGTACGCTGGGCGTACGCCTCAGATAAGGCCACCAGCTCGGATCCAGCTGTCTTCGTACGTCGGATGGATAAGGGCGAGGGTACGCAGGGCGTACTGACTTCGGACGTGGGGCATATGCGAGGGCGACGTGGCGATCATCGGATGCGAGGCTAGATCAGTGATGGACGGACTAGATTGCGCCACGTCATCGGAATTGCAACAGGTCTCGCAAATTCACCTTCCAACTTTAAAATTTCGTATCTTTCTCATACCAGGTCCGTTTTCGACGTTCTTTATGTCAACGTGCAGGCGGGAACGCACTCTACAACTTTCGTTTAGACTCCGTCGGCTATTTTGAATTTATTTTTAAAAGTTATATTTTTAACAGGCCGGGACAGGATTGGTTCGTTAAAAATTCATAACTTCTTCATCGACGTCCGGGCTAAATATCGCTCTATCGTAATTTCACTATTCACGCTTCCCCCGTGTCGTGCCGGTTCCGTCACGAAACTTCGACGGGTCATAACTTCTTCGTTATAACTCGGATTTCGGTGTTCTTTATACCTCCGGAATCCTTGTTTCGACCACTACAACTTTATGTAAAAAATCGGCCTTATCTCACATTTTAATTTTGACGCTTATTTTTATCTTTTATTAATTATACATTTATAAATAAGCACACAAATACACATAATTTACATAATACTCAAATATTTCATCTTTATTACTTCAAAAAGAGTTACAATAGTTGACCTAGACTATTACATCGTCTAAAATGCTTAGCCCCGAAACCCCGGCGTTACACTATAGATTTATGGGTTTGACCCATTACGGTTTTCGGTTTGATCCCTTTACTATAAATATAGATGTCTGCTAGTAATTTGAAGTCTATCTTTATTCTAGAGTGATAGACAAATCTGTTGAAATGTACTTGTGGACGCAGGTCAATGACTGAACACATAAATACTATGCATTGTATGGTTTTGGTTTTGCTTGTTTTTCGCTTTACTTCCTAACAACTATCATCATACATTCGACATATATATGGGCGACATATTTAGTTATTTTATAAAACATGGAAATCGTTGCCCTATAGACATACAAACATAAGAAAATACTAAAATACTTAACATCATATACTTAGCAAGGCTCTAAATGCGACGTTTCTTACACAATGACATCATATACAAGCCTTTAAGCCATAACATACTTTTTAGAACCATGCTATTTAATATTTAACTGCCAAGTATAAAAATGTTAATGATGTTTAAATAGAGTTTCTAAAATTTATTAATGTTAGATTATCTAAAATTAATTATAAGAATTATGTATTTTTTTTTAAAACAAATGGTTATTTAAAAAAAATCATTATATTATAATATCTTTAACTTCAAAAAGATTATTTTTTCTATTAATATTAATATTATATGATGAGGATTATATTCAAATGGAATCCTAAAATAAGAAAAATCAAGTTGAAAATTAGATCCCTTTCGCCCACACTCACCATTTCACATTTCCAACTAGAAAGTAGAAACATGCGTATTCTTCACTACAACAAAAAAACGAACTGAAAACCCTAGCCCCGGCCACCTCATACATCCCTCAGTTTTTAGGAGAGGGGTTGTTTACGGATTTATGGGTGGTTGGATTTTTTTGGTTTTACATGCACGCGAGTTGGAAGTAGCATACTTTTAGTTACAAACTGAGTTTCTAGTATCGATTTTGCTTGACAACATTTAGGAATCATTCTTTGTGCGTAGAAAGGACCAATCGGAGCTTGATAAGTTTAGACATCGATTATATGCTTACATAGTGATTGAGCCTTAGTAACTTTTGTGATTTTTAAGAATTAGCTACAAACAACTACCACAGAGAGTTTTACTAAGTAATTAGACCAACCATTGATCATGCAAATGGAGTTCATACTGTCTTGTGTTATTTGTAGTTCCTAGAAAGCCTCATATACTTTGTAAATAAGTTGAGTAAGTAATTGGACTAGCCATGGATGCTGCTTAGACAATATCAGGTGCATGCATGTGATGCTCTGGCAAGCAAGGGAATCGACTTTGGAACACAGGTGCATGCTTTTCTTTGAATCATATTTCAATTTCTTTTTTGTTTTTTTTACAACCTGATTACTCGAATGCTATAACACTTTCACATGATTCCTGTAGAATCTCTTGCAGTATCGACTTTGTCCAAAACATTATGTCATGGAAAACAAAGAACCAAGCACACTAAGTTGTTGGTGTTATTTGATAGTTGAATGCAGTAAAATGGGAGCTGACAAATAAGATATTTTGATGTTTGAGAATGGCATATATGAAGTTCTCCCAAATTGAAATGTTTTCTTAATTGTTATTTGTTAAATTCAACTGTTTTGAAATGTTAGACAAAACACTGATTTTTTGTTGTGTTTGTTATCAGTGAGGATGGAGGATAGATGCTAATTGTGGGACAATCCCTTTGCTATATGTTAACAATTTCTTTTTTGAAAATTTAAATGTACGTTTTATGCAGTAAGAAATGACCAAATCAAAGTTTTTTTGTGACATTCAAACATGTTTATATCAATGACTATAATGGTCGGTTATTTAGCATGTCTACATCAATAGAACTTGTTCATAAGAGCATACTCTTTGTATTGAGTATGTGTTTTGGTTGTAAGGCTTAATTTCTGTATACTTGTGTAGGTTGTTAATTGTAACATAGTGTAATTTTGGATGTAAGCCCCAATGGTTATTTTCACACAACCGCGTTATTTAATTGATTTAACCAGGTCATATAAGCCTTTTTGTTTGTAGTAGTGTATTGAATTAAATTTAGACATGCATGTCTGTAATCCAATTCTTTGGGATAACAAAACTGTAAAACAAAAAGCAACTTCATTGCCATTATAAAACATAAACACATCTGAAAAGAAGACGGCTTAGAACCAAATGGCTTTGGTAGCTAGCAAACACTAATTGCATAGTAAAATTAAGACAATGTAACCTATGATATGGCTTCAAGGAGCTTTTGACATATTTGTTACCACAATCGTAAATCCTAAGCTTCAAGTAGTCACTGCAAGAAAACATATATTTGATAAGCTTTGGTTTGTGTATTTTTTATTATTAGTTTCAGAACATAAAAATACCTTAGGGGCCATCTTCCATACGCTAGGCTTCCTTTAAGGGAAAGCTCTGAAGTTCACTAGCTTATCTGAGTAAAAGAAATATATTAAAGATTTGATAATGATCACATAAAGTCAAAACATGGAGTATCTATCATTGAAAGACTATAAAGTTATGGTCTTATATGGATATTGTGAAAGGGGATTTTAGCATACTATCATTTTAGTAATGTGTTGAATTTGAGTTCACAGGTCCTAAATATGTATAATGCATCTATTTATATCAAATATTGGTCAACTCTAATGGATAGCCCTAGTAGTAGCATATATATTGGTGGTGGAAGAAATTGTTCTAGCAACTTATGGTTATATAATGAAGCAAGTATTTCTCCATGAGAAATATCCAAGTCTGATATCAACAACAATGTGTTGGTTGTGTGATCTCAGTTATCTTCTTGCCAAACAAATAATAGATATAAAGCAATACATAATAATTAATTATTCTACCTTTAAACCGGGCACCATCTCCAACGAGGTGACGATCCCATATTAACAAGTCATCAACATGAATCATAAATCGCTCCATGCTTAGGAGGTATTCTCCGGTTGTTAACTGAAATCCAGTGAGATCTCTACCAATGATGTGATTCCATGACTTGTAATAACTCAAAGCAACTTTTTCTTCCTCCGTAATTCCATCATCATACACAAAACTAACCCCACATTCTATTGCCACTTGACTAGTTCTATCATATGGTTTCTTACTCATGGTAATAGCAACATGGTCACCACCTTCCATCTCATTCATCCCAAACATCCAATGGCTTAAAAACATCAAACACCCTCCATCAACAGCGTCAATGTAGTGCTGGTATATCCAGACTAGGTTCTTTGTTATATTACTAATTTTTATCATTGGTGTATATATGGAGTCACCTTCTCCAATTTGCAACGTATTCACAAAGCAGAAATTCAAGCCTATGAGCTTTTTAGAAGATGATGGGATGGTAAATGATATTGATGTCCCCTGGCTTCTATCCGTAATCCAATTCGGCATCTCTTTGCCTTCAGAAATTGTGCTGAATATTCCAAATTCGTAATACATCTGCCAAATACAACCAATTTTTGATCAATCACCATAATACTTCTATATAGACATATATTTAAACAAAGACAGATAGTTTGATAGATTCAAACCTGGATTTCAGATTCCTCTAATCCTCTAGACAGACTATCAGTTCTTAAGCGTCTTTCCTTAAGAAAGTTTAGCTTAATCCAGCCTAAACAACGTAATAACATTTTCTCAGCACTTGTCATTGGTTGGATTTTTACCACACCTTCAATTTCAAATGATGAAGGGGCAAACATTCTCCACTCTATATAAAACTTGAGTGGGGACATATTTTGGTCAAATAAAACTTTTCGTAGTGCAGGCCTATAATCAGAAACAAGCATCAACTCTCTAAGTGTATGTGGAGGGTTCTCGAGGGACACCAGCTTTTCACAGTTTTGCATGCTAAGTATCTTAATCCTAGGAAGGCTTCTCACACAGCTGGGCAGGGAAACTATAGGATTGTCATCTAAATATAATTCTTCTAACATAAATAGGGAACTGAAGTCGATGGGAAAGGATTCTGTGGACAATTTGTTATTCTGAAGTGCTAAGCTTACTAAAGATCTCGGTAAAGAAACCGTTAAGAACTTCAAATCACTTGGTATGGCCTGCTGAACTACATAGCAAGTGGTTATCGTGTTTATGCCAAGGTTGGTAGTCTTCAGCTTTTCTGATGAATCCATATCCATAGTATTGATTTGAGATTCACCGAGATTACAACCTTTTAGCAATAACATTTTAACCTTCTTTAACATGCTCATGTTTCTTGGAAGTTCTCTAAGCTTGTTGCAGTAGCTAAAATCAATGAGGACAAGTTCAACACATTGCTCAATAGATTCACAAACTTCAACCAAATTGATGCAGTTTGTAACTATTAGCTTTTCAAGTGCAGGGAGTTGGTCAAAGCCACCCAGACTACGAAGTTGTTCACAGAAACTTAGATTAAGAATCTTTAGTGCTCCAAGCAACCTTTTATCTTTTAAGCACGATCCATCCAACTGTTGAAAAAGTGATAAGTTAGAATAGCAGTGAATTCCAACAACTCAAAATGAAAAAAAGAATAATAAAAGGACACAAGTTACCTTTTGCCTTTTCTGAACTCGTTGTGGATAACTATAACAAATGTCAAATGATTCAATAATATTGCTATATGACATGTCTAGGGAAACCAAATTCTCCATTGGTAAGTCGAGAGGTATAGACTTTAAAGGGGATCCATGCATACACAACCACTTTAAATCTTCTGGAAAATTCGCATAAGACCCACTAAGTTGCACAAAATTAAGCTGTAGTAGAATGAGACTATCCATGTTACTCAATACATCTGTTTTCAGCTCAAATGATGCACACAACTTCTCAGCTTTCTCAAGCCTTCGCATGTCTAAGGCAAGTCCTAGAAGATTTCTCATATCCTAAGAAGACATAGGAGTGACAAAAGAGATTTAAAATAGTTACACTACAATAATTGAAAATACTTTAAGCATATATACATACTACATTGTACTTTTAATTTGGCTCTTACTAAGGCCTTGCACTTTCAAAAATCTACCCGGTTATAGCTTTCTGCTTTTGGTTATTTTTTATTAGGAAATTATACTTTAAAACTCTATCCAGTGCTTATAAAGACAATGTTTTTATTTGAATGAAATTGGTATAATTGGGTAGATTTTTAAAATACAATGATGTTATAGGAAGAAATGAAAGTATAATATTATAAGAAAAACATATCCTCCAAAGTATAATGCTATTTTTTTGCATTAAACTCTACTACCAACGAGTATGCAAGACATCTTACCTTTTTTTGTTTCAACACTTTGAATGACTCCTCGTCACACCATAATCGACTTCGCTTCCATGGCTTGTGAGGTGATTCTTGATATACAACAAATCTTCCCATCTTTTGTAGCAATTGATGCATCACCAATTCATTATGCCATCCGATGCTTAAAAGGCATCTGTCAATGAGATTCGTGATCCCAGATCTTATGTTTATATCACATGCCTTTAATATTGTTTCAGTAACATCTCTATCTCTTCCAACAAAAAAACAAGCAATGTGCTTAAACAATTCCTTATCATTTTCTAATGGCAAAGAGTCAAAGCTTGATCTCAAGACATTATTTATATGGGAACCAACTTCCTTCTTTAGCCCTTTTATGGTATCTTCCCAATAACCTACATCTCGATTATATAGAGACTTGCCCAAAACTTCAAGAGCCAATGGATGCCCTTCACAATACTCCACAAACTTTTCTAAGACTTCTTCATAACCTGCCTCGGGCTGGTTGGTTGTGAATGCATGTAAACACAAAAGTTTTCGTGATGTAGACACATGTAAGCCTTGAAGCAAGTGCTTTGCATGCTTGGGTTTAACATTCATTTTAAAAAGTGCACAACTCTCTGTCAACCATGCATCCTTTGTTGTTATTATGATTTTGCTCCCCGGATAAAAACCTTTGCTTCCAAGCAATGCATCCAATTGCTTGACACTATCAATGTCATCAAGAACTAGAAAAACCTTTTTACGAGCCACAACATTCTCTATCTTTGAGGTGTATATAGAAACATCATCAACTGGAATCGGACTTGTTTTTGAAATGTCATCACATAGCTGTTTTTGTAGATCAAGCAACCCACTAAATTTTTCATCACATCTGCTACTGATATTTCCAATATAGCTGCTAGTCTTGAAATCACGGCAATCCAATCCATAGACAAATTTGGCTAAAGATGTCTTCCCGATCCCACCCATACCCAAAATTGTGAGTATTTCTGTTGTATGTGAAGATGCATCTTTCAACCATGAGGTGATGAATGTAATGGAACCCTCCATCCCAATAAGTAATGGCAGAGGACTCCTCAAGTGTACACGCAGTATACGGTAGATATCATTCACAATTTCTTCGATGAACTCCATCTCTTGCCTGAAACTTGATTTTAATAATGAAAAAATATCCACAAAACAAACAAAACCGGATTTGAAGATTTAATTTATCTAAAGACCCATATCAAATTATATCAAATTAAGCTATTATTTTTAATTAAGTTTATCCTACCAAAACTATGTCATATTCACTTTCTAACAAGAGAAATTAGTGGCTTGTAAGATCATCAATTATTTGTAGAATAAGCGGACCAGAGCCATCAATGTAATGCAATATTCCACAAACCGGCCATCAAACTTCATTATGTTGTGGAAGACTATTAAACTTTAACATCGATGTGGTTTTGCATATATGTAAACAAATGTCACTGATAGGAAACTAACAGTTCCCAATTTTGTTTCCGATAGCTTATAGAAGTTATCCAATTGGTATATCAAAATAAATTAACTTAAATTAACAAAAAAAAAAAATTAAATTAAAACAGCTAATGTACGTATATGAACTATTTTATAAGATTACATGATTGAAAAATTAATATTCAATTTTCAGACTACTTTTAATCCAATTTATTTACATAAAAATATGCCTATTTGATGATAAAGAAAAAAACTTGTTAAAATGCAAGATGATATTGACTTTTCAATTTTCATGCCTTAATGAAACAAAGTTGAAGGAGTATAGAAATATGTGGTTACCTGTCATTTACATCTTTCCCTTTTAAATCAGCAACTGCTGTGAGTGATTTACTCCATTGCTCAATCTTTTGAGCCCATTTATTTCTTTTATCTGCCTTTGTCTCACCCTCCATCTTCTGTCTATGTTTATCCATTGCATCTCCAAAGCTACTTTGTTGCTTCCTGACATGGGTGGGTTCCACATGATAAAATATAGGAATAACAACATGATTGGATGTCCTCCGTTGCTCAAGGATCAACACCAGTTCATCAAGACACCAAGTGGAAGTGGCATAATTTTTGGACAACACGATAATAGAAGCCCTAGATGCTTTAATGGCACTCTCCAATTCTGGTTTCAGATCTTCTCCGATTTCAATCTCTTCATCGTCCAAGAAGGTAGTGATTTTGGCATCCATGAGGGCCTTATGAAGGTTAGCGATAAAGTTATGACGAGTGTCAATACCTCTAAAACTTAAAAATACTTCATATCTATGACCATGTGTTGATGATGAAGATGAAGATCCTTCAGAAAGTTCAGAGAGAACAACCATTATGAGTTATGAAATGGTATGAGTGATTAGATACGTGATTTATAATCAAGTTAAGAATAATGGATGCACCAAGTAGTGGTTTTTATGAAGGGAGGCCAAGTCAACAACTACTATAAATAACACATGTTGTATTTGTAGACATTAGTATATGTAAGGTTTGATTTACTTCCCAACATTATCTAATAACCATATAGGAATACTGTGGTTGATCAATTCTTATACATATGATATTTTCATTGTTTTTGGTAATTTTTTATTTTGTAATTTTTAGACTTTGTATTTTGTCCAGCTCCTGTTCATGTTTATTTTATTAAAAAAAAAAATCTAATAACCATATACTTCAAAAGCTTTTTAAAGAACATCCCACTTCCAAAACACAATGTCCAAATTGTTGAATTCTTTGACCGCCTATGTTTCAATCAAGTTTCCGTAAAAAAAAATCGTAACGGTTCAATTTTAATCTAAAATGTAACAAGATATGTCAAACCAAATTCCACGAAACCGATACCAAAATCATATTGATTGTTTTTGGAATGCTGGAAAAAATCCGAGAACAACTCACGATGGTTTTTTGGATTTTAAAACCGATTACCGATTTTAAAAAGATTTAAAGTAATTTTAATTAAATATTGCGAAAAAAATCCTAAAAGTTATTATTTATTATGCGTAAATGGTTATTTTTGTAAAATATATATGTAATTCAAGATTGTCTTTTCAAAAAAGTCATTCTGAAAAGAACGAAGACTTCAACATATATACGGTCACTTATAAGACTCTGTTGTGTCGTTGTGAGATACACTAATAACATTGAATTTATAAAAAAATACAATTGAGTTTTTTCTTCCTCATAAAACCACATTGAATTAATTTTTTTTAAAACTTAAGTCTTTCGTACTTCACAGTATATTTAGTTAAAAAAAAACATATCTACCAATATTGCTCTAGAAATTTATTCTTGCTGCTAGACATAGGTATTATTATAAATGCAGTCAACTACTTGGCTTTTAATAAATTGTTCCATTTGCTGTTCTAAAAGAAAAAAAAATGTTCTATTGATTATTGATATATAAAGTCATATATGTGGGTACCACCAAAAAGATACTGAGATATAAAAGCCATATTTAGTGGGTTCTACTAGAGAATAACTATCAAGATATAAAAGTCAAATCTGAGGAGGGCTCTACCAAAGATTTTAATAATGAACTAACTTTTTTGTATTCGTAAAAGTTAATTAAACAATCTAAGGAAAAACAAATTAACAACTATGAATCACTTTATTATTTCGGAATGTTTTACAGATTTTTTTCATGACGAATGCTTAGGCATTCATAATGCATTAAACTTAATATTAAAGTTTAATGGATTAACACATAATCATTTTACTTTCTATACAACTCTACATTAATTTTCCTACATTGCATTGAACTCAATACAATTCAATGAAATATATATTTAATTGTTAAAATGTTTCATTTTTCTCATTAACAGTAGAGTTTAATCCATTGAATGTCAGTTAGACATGCTTCTCATTCAACTCTCCCATTGAACTATACATTATTGTGGATGCTTTTAAAAGAAGTTTTATCACTTTATTGTATAACCTCGTGAATTAATAATGAGCAACCCACCCGGCCACCCCAACCCCAATTCATGACCTCAACAACCGGTATCGTCTTCTCCATCCAGAAGGGCTGCCATTTTCTTTGCTAGTGAAAATCCAAGATGTTCACCCCTCCATTTCAATCAGAAAACACCCAGAGAAATAATCAAAACCCGATTTCTACCAATTGACTATTTAAATCAAAACCCAATAATGAAACCTGAAATTCTTGAGCCATCAACCAGAAAAATAATTGAAACCCAATACTTGAACTAATCTAACAATCCTTTGGCAACCACCATTTCCCCAACCGAAAAGCTCGAAGAGAAACACATCGACAATTTGCATTACCTTAAAGTTGTGATTAAAGAAACGCTAAACCTCAACCTCCCCTCTTCGGCTACATCTCCGCCATTTGTATGCCCCAAAACCCCTGTTTAAGGTGGTGGATTCATCAAAGAACACTAGTCCAGTCACAAAACAAATGAATCTAATTTTACAAAATAGTTGACAAACAAAAAAACTCAAAATTGTGAAATCTGTTGTTCAAATAACTTCATAAAAGTTGGACATTAGCTTGTGTCTATTGTCAAACGGTTATAAATGAATTACTACAAATATTTTTTCTCTGTTGTTAAACTTATAAAACTAATTTGTAGCTTGTAAATTCATATATCCCGCCGATGATCTAATAAATTTTCAAACCAATCAAAAATTTTATAATTAAAAGGATTTTAATTACATTATAAATAATTATTTTTTTTATCATTCTAATTAAATACTATTAACCAAACATATCACATATTCAAAAAAAAAAAAATCATTTAAATTCCGAATTCTTGTAAATCCAGCTCCATGGTTGATATTGAATTTTCTAGTAGCAGGTTAGGGGAATACCCGTTAAGCCGTACTCTTATTATTCGATTTTTATTACTAATCTAGTTACTATTATTAAATAATAATAATAATAATAATAATAATAATAATAATTGTTATCTACTATAATAAATGAAGGTTATTTTTGTCACTTGTCACACTCTTATTCAAATTGTCAAATGTTATTTTGTAGTTATGTTAAATTAATTTTTTTTTCACATGTCATTTTATTAGTTTTTCTATTTTATTAAATTCTGCATAATATTTTAATGTAATACTTGCAATAAATCTACTCTAATAAATAATAGATATCAATTTCATTAATGAACTTATTTTTTATTTTCAAAATTCCCAAAATTAAATTTTATTAGTTTCTTTTGTTTATTTATTTAATTTAAAAGATAAAAAAATTGATTATAATAATTCATTATTTTTCTTAATTTTTTATAAATTCAAAGTTCTCAAATATTTATATCTTTATATTTATTTATTTATTTTTTAAATTAACCCATATAATACATAAATTTTACAACTAATTATTAATATTATAATTTCAAAAGTTAAAAAACAATAGCTAAGGGCTAACATAAATGGAAGAAATTAACTTTTATATCACGACCTCAAACTACCGTGCAATGTTTTAAAAACTGGTTTAAACCGGCCGGTCGAACCGGTTGGACCGGAAACCGGGGGAGGGAGCGGTTCAACTATCACTGGTTTTACGTCGATTTCTGAACCGGATTGAACCGGCCGGTTTTTAGAAAAACCTGGTTGAACCGGTCAAAATAAACCGGTTGAACCGGTTAAACCGAAAAAAAAAATACACAGAAAGGAATTATTTGCATAATAAACTTTGGTGACTTTTTTCAAATCTATTTAGTTTTCTTTAAATAAAAACATATGATAAATGTTATAAAGTTTTTTGATGTGTTTTTATTCATCTAAAACTATATTTTGTTTCGGTATTATATTTTATTTTCTTTTTGGCGTATATGGATTGATATAAAACACTAAAATTTATGGTTATGTGCTATTTTAATGTATTTGGATTGGTCCACAACTTATTTTTATATGTATTTTAAATGTTTGAACTTTTAAACATCAAATTCATGATTTATATATTTATGTATGTATAGAAAAAAAGGAGAAAAAATGAATATTATAGAAACCGGTTAATCCGACGGTCGAACCGGTTGAACAGGGAACCGGTCACCATACCGGTTCAACTAAAAAACCGGTTTTTAAAACATTGCTACCGTGTCACATGGGGGCATCTATTTTCCTAGAAGATAGACTACGGAAGTGACAACTTGGTATTTGCACATGGGAGCATTGATTGATCGCATTCAATACTATTTTTATTTTTATTTATTTATTTATTTGTTTTTTGAAAACCTAAATGTATTAAGATCCATTTGGTTTGGTTGTAAAAAAAGGTGTTTTCATTTTTTAAAAAAGTATTTTTAGAAAATAAAAGTTGAGATTGTATTTTTAGTTTATAATGAAAATTATAGAAAATGTATTTAGTTAGAACCGGTAGAGATTTCATTTTTCATTTAAAAATTTAGAAAATTTTGGAAAATTGTAAAGTTCATTTTTTCTAATTTACATAAAATTTAGAAAAGAGAATTTTTATTTTTTGGAAAAATTTTGAAATCTGAATTGTAACATCCAAGGCATCACCACAACGTGACAAATCAAGAATGTACACATACTTTAATTAGGTCGTCACAATGTGTCTGAGGACAAAAACCATAATTTTGGGGTCTTAAACCCTATTTAAGGAATGTGTGAGCTAGGTTTTTCTCACACTCAGCCTCAAACACTCTATTTTAAAACCCTAATCCGTTTTAGACTCCTTGTTCTCATTTTTGAAGAAGCTTATGGTGTTTTTATCCTTTTGAAGGATAAGGAAGCCCTTTTGGTGTGTTGGTTCGTTTTAGAAAAATATCGTCTCATGACTAGGTCGTTCTTCCTGATTGACTGAGTTCTACTACTTGTTGAATCATACACAAAGGCACGTTTTATAACATCGAATTACCAATGTGGTTTCGTGCAATCAATGTATAACCAACTCATAGTAACAACTCATATCTCTAGGTTTGAAGAATATAAGATATTATCGTCTCATGATCACTTGTGATAAAATCCATGAAGTGATTCCAATGAGCGTGGGTTGAATCCAATACTCATAACTTATGAGCACTCATGAGTGTTGTAGCACCACTTTATCCAACATCTTAGACCTCTACAAGCCAACCCATGACAGTCTTAATACATATCTACTTCCAACATATGACCGACTGTGGATTTGTCAAAACCATAATCACAAGAGAAGGATAATGACAAATCCAAACTCATATGGACTGAACTCAATCTGAATTTCTTGCCACCTGGCAGCTCAAGGGACTATCATTGCTTCCAAGTTGTTATGCAACCAATTGAGAACTCTAAGAACTCATATGCAAAGCCAACTTTAACTGGAATGGGCACAAAAATAGAAATATGTCAACATGATAGGTTATAAACCTCACGTCGTGTGCTAGTGTTAAACTACATGTTTTTATTCTTGATTAGATCTTGAAATTCTTTTCAGGATCTTTAAGACTCTCACTGTCCT